TTTTTTTCATCCACATAACTCCACACAGAGTTCTTCAAACGGACAATTCCAACGAAATATTGCGACGTCGCCTTAATGTGAGCGATATCAATAAGGCAGTATACGTCAGAAAGAAGAGCTGGGCCGCATGTAACAAAAATGAGATACTACAGACGAATAAAATGAATTATTGAATGGTACCCAGGTAGTGCTAAAAAGAACACAGGATAGCCGCTGATGTAGTGAATGGATCCGTTTAAACAAATTTATATCCTTCGATATCTCAAAAGTACTTGAAATATCAAGAATCTTCGGCACTACTAGTACAATTGAGATTTTCGTCCTCATCCGCCTTCTGAGCTTATCACATCCACATAAAGAGTGCTTGCCTTATCTTACGGGTACTTACCATATAACAGTTTGTTTCGCTTTCCTATTATTTTAACATAGCCTACTTCGTTCTTTTTGGCGTACTTTGATATTGTCTCTTGCGGTAAACCACCTCCGCAGCCCGCTAGCTAAGTTATTGTGATACGTTTCATTTTCACGCAATTATACACAAAAATAACATTTTACAGGGAAAAAATTTGTGGTGAAATTACATGCAGGTGCACCGATTAATACTACTCCCGTGATTGATGCATACTTTCACGCGCTAACTTCAAAATATCCCTACAAGACGTACGTGATCGGAATCGACGCACTCCTCTTGTATGGATTCTTTTACCTTCTTTTTTCACATCGAATTGGTTCACATTTTCCCCTAATTTTTACATTCTTCCTTCACACCGAATTAACTTTGGATGAAATGTCCCTTTCCCCAAATGCTTCAAGTTAGATTTGCAGCGCTACCCTCACTGTTTCGTCTTATGAGATGAAACCTGGATCAATATCCTGAGCCGCAATTCGAATGCCAGAAAAATACCTCCAATATGAAATTAAAGACCAAAGCCATCCACAAGAAAAATGATGCTACGTTTCGTGACTCGGAAGGGCAGTACCGGAATATTGTACCTGAAAATTGGAAATATTGGAAATTGGCTAAAATACTTAAAATATTGGCTGAAAATCACTTCTACTTCGACTAGCACGGTCCCCCTTCCCTCCATCTCACCAGAGGCTATCCAGGTAGTTGTTGAATTCCCCACAGATACTAATAACAGATAAGAAAGAGTTGTTAGAAAATTGCGCAACAAGTCCTGCCTATCGGATTTCACTTATTCGTGTGGTCATATCCTCGTTCAGGGTTCATTCGACCCCTTGCCATCTTCCGCTCTGAAGATTTTGAACGGGAGCAGAGATTTTAAGCTGTCTCAACAATCATTTTCAAAAGCCTATAGCCATCAATGGAAGAAGGAAAATGTAGAGAATCCTGTGCTGTGCTCAACAGAATGATAATCACATTGGGATATTGCAGTTACTGGCCAGTTTCGTTTTTGCCAACACGACTGCAGGAATCTATCATTGAAATTATTCGTCGATTCAGCGGGACAACTCTACCAGCAGTGATCGCCAATGCCGAACCGAACAAATCCAGTACAAAAGAATATGTACTGTCATAGTAAGTTTAAAAAAAAAAAAATCCCGAAATATATTTTACTGGCAAAAAGAACTGCACCATAAACGATATCGACAGAAAAAAAAATCAACAAAGACTGAAAGAACGGTACGGTCGCCAGTACAATGAACCTACCAGGCGACGCAGTACATCGGTAACTGGAAAACTGATAGCCACACCGCTATGAACTGATCAAATTATCTCATATCTCATGCAAATCCGTCTCCCACTCCCAAAAAGACACAAGTCAAATTCTCACCGAAAATACACAGAAAAGGCTATTATAAGATCGCTAATCACTGTATTACTAAACAATTTAGCACAAAGAGCTACCTTCAATCAGATTTCAGTAAGGCCTGCTCATCATTATTAATATACACTCACCACGGCGGGTACAAGCCGTACTAATAATTCTCACACCTACCCAAATGCTACATCTGGTATGTGTTTACAGCTAAGGGATGAAACACAGATTGTTTCCTAAAATGTCTTCCTTCGCACATGTCTTCCTAATATTGCATTCATTCGCAATTCAATATTTCGCGTTTATTTCATTGTACAGAAAAGCGCGTAAAAAGTTTTCTCGAATGGACAAAAAGTACAAAAAACAAGAAAAAAAAACAGATGAGGATCATATAGGGTTAATGAAAATTCGAATCAAATGGTCAACACGGGCTGGCAAACCAGTCACTGGGCACTTCTTCTCCCTTTGAATAAACGAATGTATGCATCGATAACAAAACACATAGCCAGAAACACTAAGCACCTGAAACAACAATAAGGAAATTTTCTTATCTAACCGTAGGTGGATCCAGGACGGCCTCCTGGAGGGACAATGAGGGAGGGGAACGAATAGTGGGGCTTCTATCGGCGACGAGCGGAGGAAGGGGGAGTGAGTCTCCTCAGTGTAAGGGAGTGGGAAAGGGCGGTCGAGGATGCGGGAGACAGTTTCCGAAGAGGATGAAAGACCCATCGCCCCCCCCCCCCCCCCCCCCCCCCCCCCCCC